ATTAACTTTCTTTGGCTTCTGATGGTGAGTCTAAGTTGTTATGATTGAAGATAAATGAAGATTATTATTGCACTTATTACTTATACATAGTAAAAAAATACCTACTTTTATGATAAAACTTTTTGGTGCTTTACTGATTGATTGGAAAAACTTTGGCATATTTGATGAGAGAAGAGGAAAAAGTTAAGATATTGGAGATATTATCACTATCTTTTCCACACCAAGTTTACAACCATCACTACCACCAACAACCATAGGAAATATTATCACTATCTTTTCCACACCAATATATGAAAACTACGAACGAGACCTCAAACTGCCAAAATTAGTAACTGATATAAGAAAGTCCAAACACGACCTCTCCACTAGAAACAATATACAGGAAAATATGTTTGTTAAAGAGATGTTGGAGGCATATAGAACAGGTAAATTGCCATTCCAACAAAGGGATTGTGATGTTTATATGATTACTAGTATATTAGCATTCGAATTCGAAAAATTAGATTTTGGATTTGGGAAGCCTGCTAGAGCAAGCAAAGGAAGTGGTCCATCTAGCAACACTTTTATCTTAATGAATACACCAGATGATCATGACAGAGGAGTTGAAGCCTTTGTAAATTTGAATGAGGAAGATATGTCTGTTTTCATCAATGACAAAGACCTCCTCCAATTTGCTACTCCATTTTAGGGGACAAGCCAAAATGAACTAAGTTGATAGTTGTTAGTTTAAATACAATGTTTGTTTTGATTGTTACTTAAATTTTACTGTATCGTATCGTTTAAATCAATGGTTATATCGTATCGTTTAAATCAATGGTTATGTAATGATCGATTTAGTGTGATCAGTTCATTACTTTAATATTCCTTCTCATTTTATCGTTATTTATTATTTAAAAATCATATTTCATATTTTATCATATTTTAAAATAATAAAGTATGATACAATATAATACAATATAATATAATAGATTATGAAATAATACCTAATTAACAACCATCCAAACAAAGTGTGTTTTTCTTTTCTTAAATAAGTTGAGTTAAAGTGTTCTATTTCTAAAGTTTGTTGGACCTTTTTGAGGTGCAATTTCCGTTTTATTTTTATCTATATTTATGCATTTTGGTATCTAGTGTTGTTTTTGGTTTGTAATTATGGAATTTGACTATACATATATTATTGGAGTTTTTGGTTAGTCTTTTTTTTAAAAAAAATCTATTAAAATTTATCAATCAGAATTTGTTATAAGTGATGATGGAGATTTAAAGTACTCAATTTTGGTATATTTAGAAGGATTAAAATTATTTAAGAAAGAATTTTAAAGAAGACTTTGAACCTACCTCAAACATAAGAATTTTTATTTTATTTTCTTGTTAACATATTCAATTTTTTTATAAGTGAAACTTATAGTATAACATGACTATTAGATTCATTGTTTCACGATAATTTTATTGACCGTTTTTGCTCTGATAAAACATCATATTTGACTTCAGGTTAGAAATATTAATGAGACGGTTTTAAACGGGGTAGGACATGTATTGATCTTCGATCAACATTTTATAGAAATATCGCTAAAGACTTTAGCTATTAATCTGAATGTAATGACACTAATTCGATTGTCGCTAAATATTTTTGTGTCAATATTAAAAACATCTATTCCCACTAAATTAAATATCTCATTTGAACATTCATCTTCAATTTTGAATAATATGCATATTATTTTTGGCAAATATGAAAAAAAATTCAAACATTCATTTTGATTTTTAAACAACTGATCAATTATTTTGTGTTAGTGTGGCATTTTAATAATACTCCTTTTGTCCCTTTTTACTTGTCCAATTTTGACTTTTTACTTGTCATTTTTGACAAATCAAGTAAAAACAATATTTGTTTACCTATTATACCCACAATTTATTTAGAAAGTTAATGTTTTTGAAAAAAGTAAAACATATTTAATGAGTAAATTGATTTTGAAATTCCATCAATTAATAGGGGTAAAATGGTAAAACTACTATATCAATTATTATTTTCTTAATAGGTTTGTCAAATAAAAAATAGACAAGTAAATAGGGACAGAGAAAAGTATAAAAAATCTGCATCTTCGCATTGCTGCATTAGAACGTTGGAGACATGTGTCCCTAATTACTCCATTTGGATTCAATGCTCATTGGACGTGGTTGCCATGACCATTAGTTCTTCATTCAATCTCATATTATTTTACTCGACTCTTGTCTAGAGTTTGTCGAATTACACATTGTGTTTCGGTTATTGTATTTTGAAGAGGATAAGTCAAAATGATTATTGCTAGACCGGTGAAAAGATTTATTGCAGTGGACTTGAATCTCCTTAAAGAGAACGAAAAATGAGTGTCTCACCTCGAAAATATTTTATTTTTTTATTTTTAATTTTCAGTTGTGATTTGTAATATGTAATTTCACCAACATTTTATACAATGAAAAAGGTCCAAAAATTCACTTAATATGAAATAGAGGAAGTAGTAATTTTGGCTTGGTGGACCGATCTAATTTAATTTGCTATTTGCTTTTGGAACCCGGTTAGAATGAGGCTGCAAGACTTAATTACTTCAAATTCACTCGGAATTTTTGGCAACAATTGTAGGAGGCGTGATGTACATGCACTTATTTCAAGAGAGTGTAACACTTTTCAGTTGAGCCATTATATCAAAATTGTACAATTAGAACCTCGATATGATCTTATTTTGTTTATCATTGATCAAGATGTTCTGTTTTGCTTTTATTGAGGATTCTTTTTATTGTTCTTTGACACTTATATATAGTAGAGATTAGAGGTATTTGACCCTCATAAGAGATTGCGATTTTAGATAGTATATCCAAATATAACTTATAATCAAATCAAAACAAGAAATTTAAAAAAAGTATCATAACAAACGAAAACAACGTCCTGGCTAAACAAGAGTTTCTTCGCATGGAATGTTATATGAATTATTGATGAATAGATAGGTGTAGTACTTGACTTCCATAATTTACCTTAAATTCCCATGTGCAACTAGTAGTTGTACTTTGACTAGCACATCTAATATCAATGTATTAATCAATATATATACTATAGAGTTAATTGGACTTACCATAAAAAAATCAAAATGATATCAACTATTTCAAAGAAGATTATCAAACCTTTTCCTCCCACCCCATATACTAAAAGATGGCATAATCTTTTCCTTCTTGATCAATTTTTAGGTAACATTTATGTACCCTTTGTTTTTTTCTACCCAATACATCAAGTAGCTACAATCCCAAAACACAAATTATCTAAATTTTTAACAAATTCTTTGTCAAAAACTCTTACATTTTACTATCCATGGGCAGGAAGTCTAAAAAACAATGCTACTATTGAGTGTGATGATCATGGTGCTGAGTTCTCCGAAGTCGAAATCAACTCTTCCATGGATAAAGTTATTAATCACCCTGATTTGACATTCCTTCAAGGTTTATCTTGTAGGGATTCCAACATTTGGTCCCTTAATAACTCTTGCACAATTAAGCTATTTCGAGTGTGGAGGAATCGCTCTTAGTTTTTGCATGTCCCACAAGCTGGTGTTTTAGTATAGTTTTTTTCTTTTCCTTCCGACTCGCTCAAGGTTTGCAATTATTAACTTCTGCATGTATGATGTCTTGTTATTTCAATCCTAATAGGTGGGAGACGCGTGTAGCGCTTACAACTTCTTGAGGGATTGGGCTAGGTTAACTCGAGATCCAAAATTAACATTATCTCCTCCATACTTTGCTAAGGATTCACTAATGCCATCACCATTTGATGGTCCTCTGCTTTCCCATGTTATTGAGCCAAAAAAGAAAAGATGTATTCAAAAGAGGTTCGTTTTTTCTGAATCCAAGATAAACGCGCTTATAGCCTTGGTTGTTGCAGAATCCTGCGTGCAAAACCCAACAAGGAACGAGATCGTGAGCGCCCTCCTCTACAAATGTGCCGCTTCTTCTTCTACTACCAATTTTGGGCGATCTCAATTAGTCCTACCCTTAAACTTGCAAAGTCAGGCAAGTTTACAACCACCACCACCACCAACAACCATAGGAAATATTCTCACTATCTTTTCCACACCAATATATGAAAACTACGAACGAAACCTCAAACTGCCAAAATTAGTAACCGATATAAGAAAGTCCAAACACGACCTCTCCACCAAAAACAATATACAAGAAAATATGTTTGTTACAGAGATGTTGGAGGCATATAGAACAGGTATATTGCCATTTCAACAAAGGGATTGTGATGTTTATATGATTACTAGTATATTAGCATTCAAATTCGAAAAGATTTTGGACTTGGGAAGCCTGCTAGAGCAAGCAAAGGAAGTGGTCCATCTAGCAACACTTTTATCTTAATGAATACACCAGATGATCATGGCAGAGGAGTTGAAGCCTTTGTAAATTTGAATGAAGAAGATATGTCTGTTTTCATCAATGACAAAGACCTCCTCCAATTTGCTACTCCATTTTAGGGGACAAATTAAAATGAACTAAGTTGATAGCGTGCCAGTACACTGTTAGTTTAAATACAATGTTTGTTTTGATTGTTACTTATATTCTACTGTATCGTATCGTTTAAATCAATCATTATGTAACGATCGATTTGGTGTGATCACTTTGTTACCTTAATATTTTCTTCTCATTTTATCTTTATTTATTATTTAAAAATCACATTTCATCTTTTATCCTACCTTTTCTAAAGTAAGTTAGTAACAACCATATTTTCTTAAACTTGAAGAACATTATAAAAATGATCAACTCATGACTACCTTAAGTTTTAATCTTGGGGAAAAAAACAAATGGACGATTTTTACATTTGTTTTGGATATTCCTAAAGGACATATCAAAACATGACTCCACTTAACAACAACAACATACCCAGTGTAATCCCACAAGTCGGGTCTGGGGAGGATAGAGTGTACACATATCTTACCCCTACTTCGTAAAGATAAAGAGGTTGTTTCCAATAAACCCTCAGCTTAACTAAAGCCTGCCAAATAGTTTGAAAAAGGATACAGATACGGGAGCAATAACAACAACAAATTAATGCGAAATGAAGAGTGTTACACAACATATTGGAGAAAGAACAGTAACGAAAACGAAATAATGCAATAATCGGCTACAAATACATCTATCTGAAACAAAATTAAGTTTTAAAGTTCACAATCATACCATATGCACAATGGATGAAAAGAGGTATCTTCTGAGCTCTTTTTCTACAAGCCCACTTAACAGCAGCCTCTATATCAGCTGGCTGAGGTGACCTTGTATCCCAAGTAGGAATACACAAAAATGCATGATTTCCAGTAAACTCCAACATCCTAGGCATCTCACAAGTACAATCAATAATAGCAGGATTACCAGGTGGCAATTTATCAAGTGAACAAGGCCAACCACTACAAAAAAAACCCCAAATTGCCAACAGATTTTACTAACAACTTAAGTTGGTTAGTATTCTACTAACAAATTACCAACATATTTCTAACTGAATTATATTTTAAAACTCAACAACGAAATTCTAACAGATTACCAACCAATATCTTACTAACTAGGTATTTTAGTTGGTAAATACGGCGAGAAAAAATGGCGCCAAATTTAGCAACATTCTATCAATGGATTACCAACTGAAATATTATTAACGCACACCTTTTGTTGGTAATATTACCAACGAAGTATATATCGGTTGGTAAATATGACAAAAAATTGTTTATATAATTTATTAACATATTACCAATGAATTACTAACCAAACATTTACCAACGGCAAGATTGTGTTGTTAAATTTACCAACCAAATATAAATGTGTTGGTAAATTAGTAATGAAATGTAATTTGTTGGTACACTTGCCAACCAATATCCAATTAGTTGGAAATCTTGCCGACGAATAAAGATTGTAGTTTGTAAATTACTAACATCATTAAAATAGTTGGTAATATACCAACCGATCATTAATCCATTGGTAAAATTTACCAACATATTAATTATTAGTTGGTAATATTACATATGAATGTTTAGTTGAATAGTAACTATTACCAATGGTGATAAAATTTATTGGTAAATTATTAATTACTAACTTATATTTGAATAGTTGGTAAATTTACCAATTGAAGTTAAATTTTTTTGTAAATCAGCGTCTAGTGTTGAGGCTTTCATATTCAGTTTGTGTCGTTAGGCGTTTTAACTTTTAAATTTTAAGCCAAAATTTGACTTTCATCAATATTTTTGGTAAACGTGCTCAGATTAGAACTATGTCAGTGTCATTAGCTTCGAAAGGTTATTTTTTATCTAACAGGAAGGTTGGTTTAAGTTTTGAGGCTTCCGCTTTTTGTTTGTGCCGTTAGGTGTATTAAATATTTATGTTTTGATCAATATTTTTGTGAACATGCTCAGATGAGAATTCCGTCAGCGTAATTAACACCAAAGGTCATTTTTTATCTAGTAGGAATGTTGGTTCGGGTTTTGAGGCTTTCATTTTTAGTGTGTGCCGTTAGGTGTTTTAACTTATAAATTTTGGCCAAAATTTAACTTCGGTCAATATATTTGATAAACGTGCTCAGATGAGAATTTTAACAATGCAGTTAGATGCGGAAGGTCATTTTTGATGTAATAAGATAGAGAGTTCGGGTTTTGAGGCTTCCATTTTTAGTTTGTGTAGTTAGGCATTTTAACTTTTAACTTTTGGCCAAAATTTCACTTTGGTCAATATTTTTGGTAATCGTGCTCGAATTGAAATTTTGTCACCGCGATTAGCCATATAAGTTCAGTTTTGGTCTCATAGGATGGTTGGTTCGGGTTTTGAGACTTTTATTTTCAGTTTGTGTCATTAAACGTTTTAACTTTTAACTTTTGGCTAAAATTTAAATTAGGTCAAATTTTTGGGAAACTTGCTCAAATTTGAATTTCGTTAGCGCGGTTAGCTCTAGAAGGTCATTTTTCGTCTTATAGGATAGCTGGTTTGGATTTTGAGGTTTTCATATTCAGTTTATACCGTTATGCGTTTTAACTTTTAACTTTTGGCCAAAATTTGACTTTGCTTAACATTTTTTATAAATGTGCTCTGATGAGAATTCAGTTAGCGCGATTAGCTTCGAAAGGTCATTTTTATATCTAATAGGATGGTTGGTTCAGGTTTTAAGGCTTCCATTTTCAGTTTGTGCTGTTAGGCATTTTAACTTTTGGCCAAAATTTAGATTTGGTCAATATTTTTGGTAAACGTGTTCAAATTAAAATTTTTGATGTAATGATATGTGTCATATTGAGATTAATTTAACTTGTTATCATAGATTTTGCATTGTTTCATTTAAATATGATTTATAAAATTGATATTAATATTTTTGGATTTATATTTGTGCTCTTAGATTTTTAAATGCAATAAATTAAAAAATATTTTACTATTGGATAATCATTCAGTTAATAATATTTTGAACATATTTTCAATCAATTACTAACCTAACATTGAACTTGAATGATACATTACCAACAAACTAACTATCAATTAGTAAATTTATTAGAAAAAACAAATAATCATACTAACGCATTTAAAATTTATTAATAACAAGGGTTGTGGTGGAGTGGTAAGTACTCCTTCATCCTTAACCAAGAGGTCTCGGGTTCGATTCCCCTTGGGTACGGAGTCGCCTTTGTTAGGGAGCACAGTGGTCTCGAGTTCGATTCCCCTTGGGTACGAAGTCGCCTTTGTTATGGAGCGCAGTGGTCTCGGGTTCGATTCCCCTTGGGTACAGAGTCGCCTTTGTTAAGGAGTGCTTTACCCCCCAATGTGGGACTTCCCGACGTGAATCCGACTTTAGTCGGGATCCAATGTGGGTACCGGACACCGGATGGGAAACCAAAAAAAAAAGTACTTAAAATTTATTGGTAAATTACCAACATAAATTTTCTATTACTAAAATTGCCAACCAATTACCAATGTATCTAGAAAAGTTTACTATCAGACATTTGTTACTATAATTACCAACGTATTACAAACGGAGTCGAATAATGAAGAAAAAAAATTACTAACTCCTTTTCAATTCATTAGTAAAGGTACTAGCGATATACTAACAAAAAATTAGTTGGTGAATTTACCAATGGAAATTTCAAGGCCATGTTTCAAAATTCTGTAACATCTTTTGGTGTTTACCAACTGATTTTTGATTGGTAAGTTTACCAACAAATTAAAATCGGTTGGTAATATTTACCGACGAGCCTTTTAGCAACGGATTAATATAAGTTGGCATTTGGTTGGTAACTCAATTTGTCAACCAATTTGATCAATTTACCAACGAATATTTTTGTTGGTAATTGGGGTTCCTTTTGTAGTGAACCCCCAACATACAACCCTTCAGAAATCTCACTATATGGAGGTTCCCCACTCTTCATTCTTCTCAAAGCTGAAAAGCCCCTAACAAAATACAAGTAAGGACTAAACATAAAAAGTGACCAAATTGGAAATGTCCCATCTGAGTTTTCCCCCAAAAGAATTGGAAGATCAATTGAAGGGTTAGCAGCTAATGCTACCAATAAAGATGCCAATGATGCATACAAACAAGGTATTGACAATAATGGGTATCCATAATTCCTGAGAGTTGCAAATAATATGAATAAAGTTACTGACTTAGGCCTATAAGCACAGAAATTCCAACACCCATTTCAGTTCTTGACCAAAAGAATCGATTTTTAAGCCGAAAAATCAGATACAAAGTCGAAAATTCAAATGGGTTATACCCAATTCAAGAAAATACGAGAAGGGAAAATCTTAAGGCAAATAGGCAAATAGGCAAAACAAAATTGAGTGTCTAATGGAGAGAAAGAGGGAAAATCAAGAAGACAGAGGCAAATCGCTTGATGAGAGGGGAAAGAATTAGGAGTTGTTTGGTTGGGAGTTAGGAACCTAATTAGAAAAATCATAGTATCATATATATATATATATATATATAATATACTAGATATGGGACCCCGTGTCAGCACGGGGCCCAATATATGCTACTGTTTTTGTTTTAATTTATGTGGTACATATGAAATTTGAAGTTAATCAATTTTTTAGTATGTTTTTATATATTTTAAGTTGCTAATTATTTTTATTTAGAGTATGTTTTACGTAAATATATTATAAATCACAATAATTAACAAGTTAATATAAAAAAAAAACTTATAAAAAATTCATTGACTTTTGAAATTTCATTTGTATCACATAAATCAGGACAAAGCGAGTAATATATTTGAAAATTACATAAAACGTATTATAACTCACAATAATTAGCAACTTAAAATATCTATATATCTATATTTCTCTCAATTTATGCGGTATAGATGAAATTATGAAAGTTAAATAAAACTTTTTATATGTTTTCAAATATTTTAAGCAATTAATTATTATGATTTATATACTTTTTACATAAAAATTTATTTATATAAAGTATAAAAGAAAAAATTTTAAAAAAGGAAATATAAATGTCAGCAGGAGTCTAATCTATGCTAATTTCTATGTTTTAATTATTGTAATACCGATTGAATTTGGAGAGCCAACTAAATTTTTTTAAAGGATTTTTTTTATAAATTTTAAGTTGTTAATTATTATAATTTATAATATTTTTATTAATTTTTAACCAATATATGTTTTTCTCTGTCTCAATTACATGAGACATATGAAATTTGGAGAGTCAACTAAAATTTTAAAATATGTTAAGTTGTTAATTATTATACTTATAGTACTATTACGTGATTTTCAAATAAAATATGTAATTTTTTTATTTCAATTTATATGTCATTGATATAATTACATATATTAAGTAATGAAGAATTAATGTCTAAATTATGTGACACCTATGAATTTTGGAGTGTAAATCAAATTAGTTATATGATTTAAAAAAAATAAAGCGGTCAATTATTACAATTTATAATACTTTTTATATATTTTTTAAATGATATATATATATATATATATATCTCTTTATGATATTGATATTAGTATTATAATAAATTAAATTTTATTATTTTTAGAATTATGATCTCAATTGTCAGCCTATGCCACATTATAAAATGTTCCAAAGTAGATATCAGATTTACAAAAATGTCGATGCCAGCTAAAGTAATAAAATAACATATAAGGAAATGAACCTATATATGTACATATAAAGCTGAATATAAACAATTTGATGTGGCATCTCTCTATGACCAGTATTTCTATTCATCTTTTTTCTCCTTTTTTGACATTTTATCTTTGTTTTGTATTTTTTTTAAAAAGTATTTATGTCATACCCGATTAATTATGCCCTTTATAACATCCATTACACTAATATAGATTTAAGTAAATGAAAATGGAAGATGAAAAGATAAAAAACTATTCATTTTTCATAACTGTTTATAATTATTTAGCCTATAAAATAAATAAAAAAAATAGTTGAGCATTTGTAACAAATAAGAACAAATTTCTTCACTTTGGCTCTTCTTCTTCTGACGATGATGATCAATATATGGTATCAACTTCTGTCGCTAAGAAGTCCATCAAATTTCTAGGTCATGTGACTTTTTTAACAAAAAAGAAAGAGAAAATATCTCATGATTCTTGTGAAGACATTGATGTAAAGAAAGAGATTATGTAACAAAAAATTCTTTTCAAAATAAAAGACTTTTTGAAAAATTGTTTATTCCTCCTACAAGGAGAGAAAATTCATTGTGGTTGAGAAATTTATAAGAAGGTTGATTAGTGTTTCAAAGGGTAAGAAAAATTATTTGGAGAAAAATTCATTCTATTTATGGAATTCGTATCAAATTAGGAGGAGAACAAGCAAAAATTTATTTTATGATTTGAAAAGAGAGAAAATTAGATATTATTTCTTTCAACCTCATTATTCTTCTAATTTCTTTCTTCTTTTATTTTGTCTTGATTTTTTGTATCTTTAATTAAAGTTTTTTTTCTTATTTATCTTTAATTAAAGTTTATATATATTTTCTTAAAAAAGAATTTAAAAAGATGATTATATTTAGTTCGTTTCCTCATCAACGCTATTAATCTCATAATTAAAGTTATTTATATTATTTTCTTAATTACTTTTTTTTTCTTTCAATTAATTATTGATTTGAAGAAATTAGTTATTATAACTTAATAAGAATTACACATGTATTTTGACATAATTGATTTGTTATTTTAAAAAATTTTGGATCATTTTTCATCTTAAAGTTTCTATCTATATGTAATAATAAAGCTAAAATAGAAAATGTGGGGTGACACCTTCTTAGCAATATATACTTATTTATTCTTATCAATGTTTCTGACATTTTTTGTTATTTTTTCCTTAAAATAATTGTTGCCTCGATTTTTAGTTTTAGTTTTATTTTTTTAGCATTTTCTAATTTTAAAAGACTGAAAAATTTATATTGAAAATTTACAAATATAAAAAATGATTTATTTAACTCCTATTATCATCAATATTATTATTAATTTGTTTTACTTCTTTTCTTAATCTTCATTTCATCATTAATGTAATTTATATCATTTTCTATATATATATATATATATTTGTGACATTTCTTAGAAGTTAGGATTACTATTTATTTATTTTTTAAAAATTTTGAATTCTTTTGTCATACTAAATACAACATGTTTTATTATAATTACATTTAATATATTAATCAATATGTTGTACGAATGAATTTTTTTTATCATTTCACAAAACAAAGGTTAAAATATAATTTATTATGATTAAGGAAAGATAAAATTATTATTCCAATATCCATAACTATATATAATACATTAAAAATTAATTGAAAGGCTGTAAATGGAAAAGGAATCACCATTTAAGGAATCATTAGTTTTAAATTTTTGGATCATTTCTTCTTCTAAAAGTTTCTATCCATATGTAACAATAAAGTTAAAATAGAAAATGTAGTGACACCATTCTTAGTAATAGATACTTATTTATTTTTATCAATTTTTTCTGACAATTTTGGTTATATTTTTCTTTAAAATAATTATTGCCTCGATTTTTTTTTAACATTTATTTTTAATTTTAAAAGATTGGAAATTTTATGTTAAAAATTTAAATAATAGAAAAAATGATTTATTTAACTTTATCATCATCAATACTACTAATTATTTGACGTTTTTTCTTAATCTTCATCTCATCATTAATGTTATTTATATAATTTTCTTAAATCACTTATTTTTTCTTTTTTAACTCTTTTATATATATAAAGTTGGATATGTAAATGATGATGCAACATTTCTTAGAAGCTAAGATTCTATTTATCTAATTTCTCCAATTTTTGAGTTCTTTTGTCATACTAAATACAATATGTTTTATTATAATTACATTCAATATAGTAAACAATATGTTCTAGGAATTAAAACAAAATTATCATTTCAGAAAAATTAATGTTAAATTATAATTTTATTATGATTAAGGAAGATAAAGATATTATTTCAATATCCCATAACCACATTCAATACATTAGAAATTAATTGGATATAACTGTAAATGAAAAATGAATCACCATTTAAGAAAATAAATGTTTGCAATACCATAATAATTAAGGAGAGAGTAAGATATTATTTTAATATCCAAATTCGGAACTTTTAATCTACTACTCAATTAAAAAGAAAATGCATTTAATAACATTAAAAAGTTATTAGTTTAATATTTTTTCTCATTGTACTAATTCAATTCAATCAAACTTAATTTTAAAGATAAAATAACAGCTTCATTTTAATTGTTATCAATATATTTCAAAAAATTATCGTGAAAAGGCTTTTCTTGCACCTTATTTTAATTTTCATATACTATTGTTATTTTTTCTTTCATTTTTCAATGATTTTTTATTTCGATTTAAAATTTAATGTTTATTCTTAAAACTCTAATGGTACAAATTAAGGTGGAGTATAATATAATAAATGATGATTCTTCTACTAAATAAGAAGATATAACGAAATTGAAAGGGTGAAGCTTTTTTTTTTTTTTAAATGGATAGGAAATTCTATTAAGGTATCATTATGTCATTATTCAATATATTTTTAATATAAATTTCATTTGCTGATGCATTTGTTTAGTACTCCCTCTGTCCCTAACTTGTTCACTTTTTTTTATAGTTGTCTCTAATTACTTGTCCATTTTGACAAATCAAGAAAGAACATTTTTTTTACCTATTATACCCTCAATTGAATGACTAATTACTTTGAAAATTGCAGAATTTTTCATCTACTTCATAATTAATAGGGGTAAAATTATAAACTCACTATGTCATTAATTGATTTCTTAATAAATGTGTCAATTTAAAAGTGGACAAGTAATTAGGGACAGAGGGAGTATTACAATATTATTTGACATTATGAGATATTTCTTAGACATTTAAGGAGAATGGTACACCGGAATATATATTATATATTAAAGGATCAACTTCATGCAATGGAAGAATTTGTTATTAGCAAATATATTTTAACTTATTTGATAAAAAATATATTCTTCCTCATTTAATAGATGTAAAATTTGTGAAGCTTTATTTTTTTCACAATCTTCATATTATTAAAACAAATAATAATATTACGATTAAACAACAGAGTAAATATAAAATTAATAAAAAATATTTAATTTAAATGATCGCGCGAAGTGCGGCCAAGTTTTCTAATTTAAAACAAAAAAGTAAAATTTAAATG